ATGATTGCACGCTGTGTTCCACTACATGTATATCGCCGTCCTTTCCCCGTCAATTCTCATGGGCAGGATGTCCGAATCGGCAGGTGGGGGCACGCGAATCGCGAGGACTCAGCATAACGTAAACTAAACTGAAACTATGATATCATAGATGGGCCATACATAAACGTGTACATGTATGCTTGCATACATCCATGCATACACACGTACACACATTCATGCATACGTACATGCATACAGCCATAATTGCATGCACATGCATGCACATGTATATGCAGGCCTATGTGCATAGAATACAAACAAACATACATACATATATACACACATACATGAATACATATATACACAGAACTACACACATACGCACGTATGTACGAACATGCATACATACATACATACATGCCTGCATGCATGCATGCATGAGTATACACATACCCACATACACTCAGGCATAAGTGCATACATGCATTCAAACATACTTACATGTATGCATACCTGCATGCATACGTACACACATTTATATACAAATACATACATACGTACGCACGTACGTGCATGCATATATACATGTCTGTCGGTTTGCATGCATACATACATAAACATATACGTACATACCTGTACATGCATGCATGCGAATCTACATGCATACATACATAAATATATCAATCATATATTCATACACACATTCATACTTACGTATATGCACACATACAGATATACACACATACACACGTACGCACACACATACACACACATACACAAATACACACATACACACGTACACACATACACACATACACACAGGCATACATATATATATATATACACATACATGTTTACATACGTACATACAGATATACAAACATACACACATACAACTATATGTGTGTATGTATTAGATATGCACTCGAAACACACGCGCGCTTCGCGCGCGCTTAGGTTCAAACCGGGATCAGATTCCCCGTCGTCGTCATCGCCATCCTCATCATCATGGTTGTCATCATCAGCATAGTGATCATCATCATCACCACCGTCATCATCGTCATCACCATCGTCATCGCCACTGTCTCCGCCACTGTCATCATCATCATCATCATCATCATCATCATCATCATCAGCATCATCATCAGCATCGTCATCATCACCATTACCATAATCACCATCATCATGATGAGGATGGTCATTATCATCATCGGCATCATCATCAGCATTGTCATCACCACTACCACAACCACCATCAGCATCATCAGCAGCATTATCATCATCATCATCATCAGCAGCATCATGATCATCATCATCATCATCATCATCATCATCATCATCATCATCATCATCATCATCAATCTACTCGAATCCCCTTCTCGTCCTCATTCTCTTCCTCCTCATCCTCCTGTGCCTCCTCGTCCCCGTTCGGTCTCCCCTGTCCACATCTCCTCCTCCAGCTCCATACTCCTCGTCGACGCAGTCTCTTCGAAGATGCCTGTTCGTCCTCCTCGTCCTCTTCCCCCTGCTCCTCCCGCCTGCTTTCCCGCTCCCCTTAGTAGCACTCTCTGTCTCTTCCTTCACCTCCTTCTGTGTTCCCCCTTCTAGTACTCCTCATCCTGCCTTGTTCCTCCCCCCTCCACGAAACTAAAAATCCAGAAGCCACAACATCTCGCAAAATCAACTGGAATCCTGGTGCGCTCTGTTTCTGGACACTCTCTTGGCCGCTTGCGCCGTTCAGGGATATCCCGGGCCATCTGGAAGAAAGCGTACGCCACTTTGGGGTTTGCTGTTCGAAACGTCAAAGTTCGCGTGGGCGTCATCCTGGGCCGCCCTGGAATTACACCACATGTTCCCGAGATGTCGGCGTAGTCGCCACCGTCATCGTCATCATCGGCGTCGTCGTCGCCGTCATCGTCATCACCATCATCACCAAAATCATCATCATAATCACCACCATCGTAATCACCATCGACCGACATCGTCGTCGTCGGCGCCATCGTTTTCGTCGAAGCCATCAAGAACGTCATCATCTCGATCGCCGTCACTATCGTCGTCGTCATCATCAAACTCCTATTCGCCGTCGTCATCATCATCGTCGCCATCGACGTCGTCATCTTGTGCACCATCACCATCGGCATCGGCAGCGTCATCGGCATCGTCGCCCTCTTCGTCAAAATAGTCGTTACCAGCATCATTCATGGATTCTTCAGAACCGTCATCATCACTGGCATAACCGTTATCGTCATCATCAGCAATATGGTCGTCACCATCCTCATCATCATCGTCCTCGCCCCCATCATCATCAGCAGCAGCTGCACTAACCTTCCTTACCATCATCATCATCATCATCACCATCATCGTCGTCATCATCACCATCGCCGTTATCATCATCAACAACATGGTCGTCGTCATCATCATCACCATGACTACGATCATGATCATCATCGTCACATAGGCCACGTCGTGCGTGGAGGTTGCGTGGGACCAAGTTCCGTGCGCCGACTTTCTTGACAGCGCG